AGGCTATAAACAGCCAAGGAAAATGAAGTGGGGGTGAAGATTATTGTCTCAATGCATGGTTCAATAAATAAACTTTTTGCAGATTACTATTTATCAGTAATATTATTTGGAAGATATTCTGTTTCCCATCAGATGTATTTATTGTTAAAATCACTCCACGAACTAAGTGGTTTTACCATAAGCAGATGCCTGAAGGAAAATAAAAGTCTGTAGATTTGTTACAAAGGCATTTTTATCCCTTATGTTTCGCTAGGTTTTGATTTAACACTTTTTAATGACTTTGTTTTCTTTATTCCAGAGAGCACAATCAGATGAATTAGAAAAAATAGAAAAGCATAGCAAGGCATCGAAGGAAAAAGAAAATGCCAAGTCTTTGGATAAGCCTGAACAGTAAGAACAAATTTATGAAAGAGCAATTTTGCTCCCTTCAGAAACCTTTCCACACTACACTAGACTAACTAGAGATGTTATAAGGATGGAGGGTATGTGGAAAGAAAGTATATGCCTACTGAGAGCAAACTAAATCATTTTCTTTAAATACTTCTGCAGGTTCCTCTATGAACTCTCGCTAATTCCCAACTTTTCAGAACGTGTATTTTGCATCCTGTTCCAATCAACGTTTTCAGAAAGCATTTCTTCAATTCGTCGCAAACTTGAATTGTTACAGAAACTGTGTGAGGTAGGCTGTGCTCTGAATAAAGGTAGAGCTAAATTTCTGATATTTAATCTTATTAAGTTGTACTCATATTTCAAAAGTTTCTCCTTATTTATTTTAAGTACTCATTAAATCTGAAGGATAGCAGTCCTGCAGAATGGAACATTTTATGATTGTACTTCAACATCAAAGTAAATTTAAGATTGGCTTTTGGTACTGAACTATAACATCATGTTTTTGTAGTCAGTGTATATCAGTCTCTGGAAAATCTTGTCTTTTTGGCAAAGTAAAATCTTCTTTCTTCATAGTCATCATGTGACTTATTTCCAAATTAATGCTCTTTTACTTCACTTTGTCTTTGCTTGGATTCTTGAAGAGTCTAATTTAGTAATCTCCAATAATTAAATGAGTTAGAGACAGCACTGCTCTCTCTAGCTGATACAGATTCCAGTTCAGTTAGTCCCATGCAAAATGTATATGGCTTTTAAACGAAAATTTCATCAAACAGCTCTGTTGTGAAAATACTTAAGTATTTTGCTTTATTGTTTTACCATTTAAAGTGTATTGATTAAAGTTTTTATTTGATTCATGTGGGTTTCTGAAGAACATATAGTAGAAGCTGTTCCTAAATTCAATATATCATTCAAAGTATCAGTATCAGTTCGGTAACAACTACATTTTTTTCTTCACCTCTCTTAATACCAAGTAATCTTGTGTGATTAGAAATTCACACTTTCCTATTATTTTTCCATTCACAACAAATCACATATGGGCATTAATGTATCTATATATGTTACATTACAAATTTGATATTTCCCTATATTTTAACTTCAATATAAAAATTATTTCTAAACACAATATCACCCAATTGACTGAAATATTGTCAGTAATGTTGTTGATAGTAAATGTTATTGAGAGCTTGAACAAAGCAATTCCCTTCTCTTTTTTAGACACTGAAAAATGGGTCAGGAGTTATGCAGGTCTTGGGCTTGGTTCTTGCGTTTGGAAATTATATGAATGGTGGAAACAGGACACGAGGACAGGCAGATGGGTTTGGACTAGATATCCTGCCAAAGCTGAAAGATGTCAAGAGCAGTGTAAGTTGATTTTGAAGTTGGTGTAAAGCTTGGAATGTTTAATTCTTTCAGAAAATTTGTCTCCATTTTGAATATATGGTGTAAAACTTCAGGTTTTATAAAGGTGCAATCAAGGGTTTTGTTTTTATTATTTTTTTTACTGTATATAACTGATCACATCTCTAGAGTTGTATTTGTGTAGAAACATGAAAATGAACTGTCTCCTTTCATAAATGTAAAAACAAAAATGGCCTCAACTATGTCTGTCTTCTTAATCTGATACATATTTGACATTTGGTATACTGAATAGATCTAACTTTTAATCCTTTCAAAGGCAGTGCTATGATCCTTATATATAAAGGGTTTATTTCAGAAAGACTTTCTTTTAAAAGAAAAGTTAACAGTATGATTCAATATGGACTTAAAATACTTCAGAGAGAAATAGGCAGTCTCCAAATGATTGAATAGCATTTGGATACACTAAAATTTATCATTTACATATGCAATGATTAGAGAGTATGCATTTTCGCATCAGACCATGGAACAGTCTGGGTAAAGAATGAGCACAAGTAGTTGTTGAGGGAGGATTTCTCTGGTAGACTCATCTGGGTTAAGGGGATGATAAGTAGTCTTTTCTTGCACAGCGCTAAGCTGAAAATGCCTCTTACCAGCACTTTTTTGGCTTCTGTGTTTCAGTTTGGGCTTGTGTTCAAATCTGCTTTTGTTTACAGGAAAACAATAATTTTTGTGTTTCTATAGCTATGATGGAAAGAGTCTTCTGAATGTGGACAGGGGTATGAGAAAGGTTATAGCAGTAACCTTAAGAATTTGAATTGGCCCCTACATGCATGTTAGCCCCTACGTGCGTTGACTCACTGTCAAGATCCGTTGTTCTGAAAGTGGCAGAAAAGGAAAAGTCTTGTGTCCCTGCTTGCTCGCTCACTAAAGGCACATGCTCTAGCTGCTGTGTTGGGTAACATGAGGAGACTGTTGTTTACCCTGAGATGAGAGACCTTGTCATCTGTTTGCCTTTAAAAGGTGTGGAGGGTCTTCATGCTGGCGTGATTGTTTCTTTGGTAAACCAAGGAGGTGATGTTTTGAATGAAGACATGGTATAGTGTCTTCACTCCACCTTACTTCAGGTGAATCATGAGATTCTCATGAGATTGAGACTAGATAAATGACCAGTTTTCAAATTGGGCTCAGTAGAACATTTATGCACACTAAATTTGGTTTAGTGACTTTAAGATGTAATTTGCTGGAAATATTGTGCCCACTAACATAGTAATTCCAATATTGTGGTCCAGTTTATTTGTCTCTGATCAGTGAGAAAAGTTCATATAAAATACTTTTTCATCTGAAAGCATAATTCCATCTAAAATATTCTTTCAATCAAATATTTTCTGCTGAAGCTTCATTAGAGAAGTAAAAAATGGAGAAAAAAAACAACAGTGATGAAATAAGGCCCATTAACTTTTTTCATGTAGTAAAATAATTTTCTGTGTTTGTTTATTGTTCCTTACTCATCCTGTGAATGTAAAAGAGATTGGAGATTTGCCAAAAAGTTGCATAGATCAACCCAAAATTGACTTCTTTTTGCCTGTATTTCCTGAAGAAATTTTGAAATATAAAAATTCAGTTCAGAACTGGGTAAAATTCAAAAAACAGAATTGACTTGCATGATTATAATAACATAACTTTCTCCTACTGTGTTTGGCTAAATGATTTTTTTGGAATTTCTACTGAAGAAAACAATTCAGGAAGAGTATTTTTATTTAGTATTTTACCCTAAATATTGTATGTGTCAAGGATTATGCTTGGTTTATCCTTTCTGAATTTATTTCTTTTTCTTACAGAAATATGTATCTGCTGATTTCCGTGATATAACAAACTTTATTTTATCCTATACAGGACAACAGTGGAAGTCTTCTATCTTACATGGTCTCATACTATTTGCGTAATTTTGATGAGGTGAGTGAGAATTAATTTTGCCTTTTTGGACACAAGGACAAAAAGTTCAATGTATGAAATGTTTTCATCTGCAGTCAAGATGAGGAAATGTGCCCACATGCTGTGCACAAATATTCTTTGTGCTTTTAATTATTTACAAATATATATAAAAATGTAACGAGCATCACTTAAATGTTTATGTTTTTGTCAGGATGCTGGAAAAGAGCAATGCAGTTTCCCTCTTCCTGAGCCACAAGATCTCTTCCAGGCTTCTCAAATGAAGTTTGAAGATTTTCAAAAGGAACTTCGCAAAATGAAGAAAGATTTGCGAGGTACTGAATATAGTTTACATACTACCTATATATTACTATATGCCTCTCTTCGGTTTTAGAGATTAGATGATGATATAAAAAGTTGCCTACATTTGACTCCTCTATTAGGATTTTGTTTCCTTGATTTGATTATTTGTGATCATTGTGTCAACACTCCTCTATTTTGTGTAAATAAATTAAGAAAGTATCATTAAAATAAACGACCTCTCCCTTTTGTTTTCATATGCATATATGAAACTAAAAACTGAATTCAGCAAGTCTTTCACCGTAAGAAAAATGGTGAAATCTTAGGTCATTTCAGGACAAAAAAGATAGGTCCAAATGCTATTTAAAAGTTAAGGAAAAAATAAAGTATATGGCATATGGTTTAAGACAATTGAAATAACTAACTTTCATAAAATATAATATACAAAGGAAGTTGTATTTCTTATGCTTGTGAAATGGTATTTATTTAAATAAACTTTGTATTTTAAAATAAGATACCTTTCTCTGACTTCTTAAAGTAAATTTGTTGCACACAACATTGGGAACTAAGCACTAAGCTTAAGTAAAGGTACAGTTTGTGGAAGAGCTGAAAAATCTTCCTCACTATCTTTACTAATATTTACTTTTGCAGCTCTCTGACAGAATATCCAGGTATGTAGCATTATACTAAATCGTATAGAAAAGGATTCAAGACAAACAATAATAGGATCTTAATATTTCTGTTTTCTAGTTCGCTTTGGAAGTGAAATTTCTAGGGAACAAGGAATGGTTTGGTAAATCGTTAGTCCCTGAGCAAACTACAATGGAAGGCTTTCTAAACAAAACAAAATATAATGTTTTTTTTTTTTTTTTTAAAAAAAAAGTACATAACCATCCCTTCTTCTCTATCATTTTTTTTGTTTGTTTGGATGTTTTGAAATTTATATTAAATATTTAAAGTTAATATTTAAAGTTTTATCAAGATCACTTGCTACAAAATTATTGCCAATAAATTCACCAGAAATGTTTTTAGATTAGAGTTGAAGTTTTTTGCACAGATGTAAATATTTTATTGAATAAATCTAAAATTTGCAGTGATCAAAGTAGGGGGTCTGCAAAAATAGAAATGACATGCATTGTTCAGACATGAGAATGCAGTTGAATTATTTCTGTACTTCCAATTCCAGCCCTTAGGGTGGATTATCGGTGCTTGTCACTCTGTTCTCTAGTTAGCGAAAGTGAACTGTAACTGGAGATGCCATGACTTCCCCATTCCCTTTAGTCCTAACCTGTCTGGAAATGGCATGGGTCCCCTTGGGTGTCCGGGCCTGGTTATGACATGATTCTTTCCATAATTGCGATTCTACTGCTTTATCATGAGCCTTGGATGATGTAAAATGCTTTATGTTGATACTTCATTCCAAAGGAAAATTCAAAATATTTTTATTAAAAAATAACTTATGGTTGAGAAATTCTGGCAATTCGAATGGCCAGATTGTCCTAGGAGTATAAATTTAATTCTTTCATTAAGACTAATTAAGCAAATTTGGAATACAATTTTAATGGAGTGAATGAAGTAACTTCAAAGTTTGTTTACCTCTGCATTTAAGAATGTCACTGGATTTGCTAATTTGCTTCTGAAACTTATGACTCATTAGAGGAATTCCCTCATTAAATAACTGAGAAAGAATGGTCATGTAAGTTGCTGAGCGAATTCTGACAAAAACTTAATTATGATCCTCTCTTTCTGAAATCAATGAGAGTAAACAAGTTGAATATTCCTGGGAAATACTAGTCATTCCCATAAGTCCCAGATATAAATGTCTGTGAAATGTACTGTGGGTTGACACTGAGATGCATTTTTGTGGATCTGGAGTGTAAACTTGGCTCCATTTTTATCAGTAATACAATGGAGGATTTCATAAGAGGATTTCACTCTCTTGGTTTAGTTGGTTGGTTCTCACTTTGAATTGTTAGTGAAAAACTTAAAATAACACTTAACTTTGTTACAACTGGAGTCACTAGTATAAGATTTTGCCCTGGTTGGCTTCAAATGTACTGGAAGCCATGCAGAATGGGATCATATTTAGTAAAATGAGAGAAAGAAGTTGTGTGTTCACCCAAGAGCAAAAGCTTCTGAAGATACTTTATTTCTGTTTAAGTACTTTTTCATAATCGCTTTTCTCAAAGATAGACATCAATCCAAAAGAATGCTTTCATAAATTTACGAGAAAGCTTAAAATCAACAACAACAAAAAAAAAAGGCAGGAAGATTATTATAAAAAGCTGCTTTGTAAGCATAACAGTAGCAACACTGTATTTTCCATTTAAATAAGTCAGTAGCACATGCAGACTTGCAGATGTAAATCACCTTTAAGGTTCTGTAAAATAATTGTGATGGTGTTTTACAGCTCTAAGCTTGGACTCATATTTGTGTTAGAGGAGTAGTTGTGTTGATTTGCTTAAAAAAGTGCTTCAAATTAAAACTTCTTTGCTATTTTCCTTTGTGAGTGTAGAGGCTTTTGTCCATTTTTAAGTTTTAGGAACTGCATACCTTTCATTTGTAAATTATAGAAAATAAAGTCTCTTAAGATGTCAGATTAAAAGCTTAGGTCCAAAAGGCTTTCAGAGACTAATCAGGCAGATATATTATTTATTTATTTATTTTAATTGAAGAAGAAAACCCACCTCACCTAATATTATAATGGAAGATACACTAACCAAACTTGCAAATTGCATACAAAATTTTCAGATTTCTCAATTTTGCTTTTGCTTTTTTAACACTCTGTGGATAAAGTTTATATAAAAGTCGTTTAAAGAAGTAGAAGACCAAAGAACAGATAAAGCTTTTGATTACCGAACCAAGTGAGTTTGGCTCCGTCTGTTGCCCCCAGATTTCACAGCTCTCCAGGATTCTCAGTTTAGCCTTTTCGACTTCAGTGACATATAGTTTGTTAAGCAACTTGATCTGCTTTTGATCTCTCCTCGCTGTCAGCAACCTTCCTTGATGCAATCATGCCAAGTGATGACTTCTGTCCTTATGTCATTCCGCAGTAGAAACTTTAGCACTTGCCACATGACTTAAATCAACTCACCATGTAAAGAAAACTGGACATTCAGGGTCACAAGTGATGCATGGCTCATAGTGATTAGGTCCCATGTTGTGTATTTATTATTATTGGTATATGATGATTCCAGACTTAAAAAGATGTCTTCATTTCTATTATTTTGTAATTAAAATAGGTAGGATTTTCAATGGTCTATAAAGCACCTGCATTGGTCAGAGATTTGCACAAATATTAAAAATAACTGTCAAGCCTGTGCAACAGTGTCTGATGGACTCTTTACACAGTAATATGAAAACATGTTTGGAATCAATTAATGTGTTAATCCCCTTAATACTCTAACTCTTACTAGAGGTACAGTGGTGGTTTAGGAAAATACTGGATTTGTAGCCCATTACATTCTTCAGTACAGGGATTTAGTAAAGAAGTAAGACACTAAAATGGCAGTGAGAGTTATGGTATTTATGAAGCAGAGCAATTTCAACTGTTTAGAACTATTCTTTGCCTACACATTAACATTTTAGCTTTACAATAGTATGCTTAATCTTGCAAATCAGATGAAAGACTAATTCACCAGTTGTCTTTTGTTGCAAATCTTTCACTGAAACTCAGGTAAAATGAATCAGAAACAACGGTAGACAGAAAATGGTATGAGATGAATTTTGCCATATAGTACAGGCTGATCAAGAATGAAGAATGTCAGTACTTGTCTGTATATCGTAATGTTGCCATACTTTATTGTCTTTTGTTGCCAACTAATTACAAGAAATAATTATGATAACTTAAAAAATATTTGTGTAATGTTTTTTTCAGCTGTGAATACTTAAGACACATTGAAAAATCTGTCTTGATAACAGGCCGTGTTGCATGGCGCAGAGATCTCTGGTTTGGAATAGCCCTGATTGCAAATGCTCATAAAATGTTAGGCATGTGGAGAACACTTTGTATTTTAAAAAATATGTTTAAAGAAAGAAAACAACTCTCGATGACTTGGAAAAAGACCTTTATTTCCCTGAATCTTTCTGTGCTTCTTGCTATCACCTAAAATAATCTCTTCAGCTCGGATATGCTAGTTGTAGGGCTGGTATGCATTCTCAGGTTAAATACAAGCTGTTTAAATCCGAGCATTGGAAGCATGGTATTGTGCAGTAAAACCTTTTGAAAATTGAATTTGGACTCACATCCATGTGGGACTAGGTATAGTGGATAGAGAAGGAATAGCAGGATGGTCCTTTTCTTGTTCACCTGGGTAACTATTAACTGTTTAAATTCTGACCAAAAGAGAAAAGAAAAATCCTCTTGCCTCAGTAAATACTACCACTAAAAGCTAGGAAGAGGCACCAACCCTGGAAGCTGTACTTTGGGGGTGAGATTTCTCCCTTCTCCTTGCCTCCTCACCATGGATGGTAGATGAAATGATGTCTATCTGAAGAGGTTTTCCACAAACCTTGTATTTCTATGAATGTCTGACTGAATTTATATTCTGATGTGTTTGAAGAGAAAAGGGCAGGGAGCTGGATCTCAATCCAGGAGAGAGAAGAGAGAGAACTAAAATGGTGAAAATAATCATAATATAGTTTGAGAATTTGGATTCACATCCTCTTTAGTAACTTACTATCTTAAGATACTTTGAAGTGTCTGTCAGTAATTTTGATGTATATCAGAATGAAGATTTTCACAAATAAGAGTTAAATATTTTATGTGAAAATATTATCTGCGGTATGATGTGGAGATCTGTATTCTGTTGATGCTTTCATTTTTTTTTTAATGATAAAATGCCAAATTTCTCAAGGTAAACAGTAACAAAATGATACAGAAACAAATTTGGGATTTAGTCAATTCTATAGTTACCTCCAGAGTCACCTTCATAGGAACAGTTCTTGTCCTAACCAAATTAAGTCTTTGGCTACTCATCAGCTGTACATCTACAAGTTTCAGCTGTTTTTTCAGCTGTCATCGAAAGGGTTAATTGCTGCAGCTATGCTGTATGCAGGCTCCTAAACCTAAACCAGATGTAAACTAAAGCCAGGCTTTCAGTCAATCTGTGAGTCATATTTTACTGTCCTTAAAACTCCAAACAAGGAGCTGTCTATGGACGCCCTTGAAGACTCAGCAATTCTTAGTACAAGTCTTTACAATTCCAAAAAAATAAATAAAAGAAAATTAAGAGCTCTTTCTGTACTTGTGGCTGAGTTCATCAGAGTTTGCCTTTTGATGAGGCCAGTTTTGTTCCCTGTTGGTAAAGCCTAAGTTTCTTTTCAAGTCACAGGTTGTAGCTGTAGGGAATACTGAAAGCACTGAGGAAGTTGTGAAAACAGTGGCCTGTTTTGCAGGCAAGTTGAACATCCCCTCTAGGAGTCTAAATGCTCAGAACTCCTGAAAATTAGGGACATAATTTCAAAACTTCTTTTAAAATCTCTAAATACATAGTCCTTTAGTTGTCAATGTAACACATGCCCCTAAGTATCTTAAAACAGTCTTGAAAGTCCTCCCAAATTCTATAGGACTTTTATAGATAAGTATGTGGTTTTATATGTGGTTAACCAGAACACCCGAATGGTCTTCAGTTAATTATCCCTCCCAGGATAGCTCAGAGTTCTGTTTGCTTTCTTATTGTTGCTTTTGGGTGTGACATGGCGCTTGTATGTTTTTGGGGTGTTGAAACAAAAATCATATTGCCCATTATTATTCTGAACAGAGACAATGATTTTAAGCCTAAGGCGCAGCTGATCATCTGTTCACATGAAATGATGTGAAACTATTTTTGAGGCATTAGATACATCTGGAATGGGATCTTTTCTTTTAAAACTTTTAGACTGGTTTTGAATAATAAAGATTTTTATATTGATTTGCATATAAGGAGCATCAGAAAGGTTTGTGTATGTATAGTCAAAAAGCTACAAGTTTGGATTGTTCAAGATTGGGAGCTTCTCTCACAAGGATGCCTTGGTATTGCTTCTCAGGAGCATCACGTACAGTCCTCTGGAGCACATGGTGTTAGAGACTAGACTATTTTTTTGGAGAATATATGTATCTTAAAGTGTCTGTTTTGGAACAGGCTGCCCAGGGAGGCTGTAGAGTCTTCTTTGGAGATCTTCAAAAGCCGCCTGTGTGCCACCCTGTGCCATGTGCTCTACGTGTTCCTGTTTGAGCAGGGGGTTTGGACAAGATGATCTCCAGATCTTCCAACCTCAGCCATTCTGTGATTGTGTGTGACTGCTGATCATTTCTACTGTTGTGGTAGTGCCCATATATTGTTAACAATAGAGAGGGTTGGTGCCTTTGATATAGAGGGAGAAGAACGTGTCCCTCCCACCCCTTGCTTAGGACTTGATGTCTTTGAAAAATATAAGGTCAGTGCATGTGGATTGGGTAGTGGGGCTACAGGGACTTGAGATATTCACCCTGCAAAGCCTTGTGCAGAAGTTACTTCTCTTCTTGATTTCTGTTTTGGCAATGTCAGGCTGTGCAATAAGATTTTAAACAGTGGGTTTTGTTAGTGTCTTTATGGCTCTCACCTGTGGATTCTTGAACACCTTTCAATTCTTTTATTATATGAGAATTTAAAACCAGCTTAAAATAAGTTGAGCTGCCTTACGTGGGTTACTTTGCCTAAGTTTTTCTTGTGCATTTCCCAGTGTGCGAGAATAACAGATCCTGAGAACAGAGATGTGATAGCAGAGGATGTTTTGAGTCTGTAACTTGATGGAAATCAGAAAAGACATTGAGTTTTTGTTTCAGACAAAACTTTTGAAAGTTCCTCATATCAGGCCCCCTTTGCCAAACCTAGTCCTTTGATATCTGGGATGTTTAGCTGGGCTGTTATATGTAGATAAATGAATTGGATTATGGAACTGAGGAAAAAAATAATCAAGTATAGACAATTAGTTTGGCATTCTCATATACTTTAATAGCGTGTTTTACCTCTACATCACTCAAGCTATTAAGCTATTAAGTATACATTTGAAATAGATGCTTATTCCTTTTTTTGTTTTGTTTTGTTTTTCTTTTTCCTTCACTTGGATAGAAATACTAGTAACTATCTAGTGTTCCTTTGTGTTCCTTCCATATGAAAAGCACTTGGCTTTCTCCAGTTACAGGGAGGAATAACAATATCTCATCCAAATGGAGGGAATTCAGACACAGTGAAAAATAATAATTAAAAAAAAATCACCAATAAGTGTCATATCTACCAAGTTGGACAAGGAGTCCATGATTAGCTCATTGCTCTGCAGAACTGGGAAATTAGGAATTGATTATAAGCCTGTTAATTCTTTAATGAAGAAAGCATCCAAGAACTAGTCTGTATTAAGCATAAGCTTTATCAAAACTGGCAGATTATAGTACTAATAGCAGTGTGGTAACAACAACTTTTAAAAGTTGGATGTTACATATGATACCTCACTTTCTATGCAGAAAGCAAAAAGGAATATTCTGTGCTTTCTTTTGGTTTTTAAATGAATTATGGGTCATGTGCAACCCAGGAACAGGATGAGTTAAGTTTTGTTGAAGTAAGACCATTTGCCTGAAGTTTCGTTCAGATCAATTGAATTGAACCATATGCTCCCTCTGTAAGTTCCTGATACAGTAGGTGAACATTAGCTATTCTGATACTCACTGTAAACACAAGGCTACTCCCAGCCCCCTGGGAAATCTAACATTTTGCACAGATGCATATTATAAGGAAAATAATCATTTGTAGTTCTTTACCCTGTATGTCAGTGAAGGTACTGATATTTATTTGTGTGTGTATATACATATATATATATAAGGGATATATAAAAGGGCAGACATGAGCCTTAAATGTAATTCTCATAAATTGCTTATTGAAGTTATTTTTTTTTAGGCTCCATTTCTTGGTAGATTGGTAGCTGCGTAGGAACAAAATATACCATGACCATCCCATTCACTCCTGCTGCTGCTCAGTACTTCTTAGTTCTGTATAATTTGTAGAATATCCTGAAAATGGATGTGTGAGTTTATTTTCATCCTCTATATAAGTGTTTTAACAAAGAATCTTATCAGTACTTGGAATGGATCTGAACTCTTCTGAGCACCAGCAATTTTAGTCTTTCTTTGGGTGGGGGGGAAAAGAAGATCAGAAGGAACAAAGATATCATTAACCATGATAACCATTTCCTCTTCACCCACATGCACACGTAAACCATGGGAGAATTTCCAATATGTGAACGGGTGAAGAAGGAAAGATTAGTCATTTAAGTACAACTATTACCAGTGTTCCCCTTTTCCATGGGAAAGTGAATATAAAAGTTGGCATATCTGCGTTTCTTTACAGACTCTGAAAAGGGGCAGTTGCAAGCTTTTGACACGGGGGCAGGCCAAGATCTTTGGTTGGGCATATATGCTTGTAAGATCTATACTTCCTTTGAATTAGCTAAGATATCAGGAGCTGATCAAAAACAGACTGCAATTCTCATTTGTAGATATTTGGGTTGATGCCATTGTAGACATCTCTTACCTTTATATTTAAAGGAGATAATTATAATACATTCTTCTAGTTAAATATCTACATTATTTTTGTATGCCTAACTATTCTTCTGCATGTAAACATAGAGAAAAAAAATTATTCACCTGAAACAAATCCTTGATAGTAAATGAGGATAATGCTTTTTTGTATGTGTACGATTTTATTGGAATTTTTGAGGCAGAGTCGAGCAGGATTCATTTGTATTGAAAGGTGATGGGAATTTATGACAGTCTGGAGAGATCTGCACTGTAAAGAGCTTAGCAGTCTCCCAGAGTAGTGTCATGTCTTCTGTTGCCCCAAACTGAGTAAGTTTGGGTAGTTGGTGGGGACGTGATCGTATCAACTTGTCTTTGAGTAGTCTGTGTCAAGACTACTTCAGGCTCCAGCTTCTTTGCCCTAGATGCCAGAACAGTAAGAACCAGTCTGTCCAAGGTCTGTCATGGAGTTCAGGCTATGCTAACTACTATATTATTGTACTTTAAACATGTTGCACAATTACCCTTAAATGATGCAACATGCTTCAGCACATCTCATAAATGTTTTACTGACAAAACTAAGATCCTTCCTGCTCTTTGGTGCATATTTTGCACCTGAATTTCTTTTTTTCTGGACTCAGGTAGCCTCACCTGAGTCCAGGTGCATCACCGTGGCCAGTGATCTGAGTTTATAATTTTCTTCACAAAACTTTCATACTCTTAAAATGGTCTTTCTCCTTCAAAACAGTCATTTTTTTGTTTACTTCCAGTAATGGTCATTTAACCTAAAATTTACTATTGCCATCTTCTCTTTATATTGTAGTCAAAAACATTTGACTTTGGACATAATCGCTTCTGAATATATTATTATAGTGTTTATCCTTGAAATTTTACATTTGAAGCCTATATTCTAGCTATGTCATTGAAGAAGCACTCATTCAAATACAGGATGCATAGCTATACTATAATGTGTCATTCTAAACTAATCTATTACTTCAATTTCAGCATGTGAGACAGAAGCAGCAAAAGTTTATCAGCTATCACTAGAAGAGCACCTCCAGCCTTTCAAAGACAGCATGGAGCAATTCATTAGTCAAGGTAAGTAATGAATTGTCATTTAACCTCTTCATGACATTTCAAAGGAAAGCTATAGGAACAATGTTTATACTTTGTAAGAAAGGGATTGTTTATTTTGGTGTCATAGAAAGATGTGGATTAGTTTAATCAGATGCCACACAGTTCTAAAAGATTTGCAGGATGACTCCATTGGACTGTAGGTGACTCATTCTCTTCTGTGTGACAGCAAAGACAAATGCTATTGGCTTGAGTGTGTGATCTTCTGATAAGTTCAACATTCCAGTAGAAAACAATTTTACAACCTTTGTTCCTTGAAAAATTATTGAAGCTGGATCTGTTTCATTAACTTCTTTCCAAAGTGATAATTCTTTTGTATGTTCCAGAAACATGGTGTATGTGTAACAAAACTAGTTGCAGGTTTTCCAGATATAAGGCAAATCCATATGAAATACTTGGATGTGATTAGTGGAAAATACTACAAGAGAAAATGTATTAGGAGTGTCCATGATTAACTGGCATCTTGAGTGCTAGAAGAAAAGCACATTAACAGTGAAGAGATTATGCTTGAGAGAGACTCTTTTTCTTTATTTTTTTTTCTTTTACTTTTTTTGAGTGCATAACTTTAATGGCTGACTAGCAGAATAAGAGGTATATTGGAGCATCTTTTAAATACTGCTCTGAGTATATACTCTATCAACCAATTGATTTTCTTCTAGTAGAATTTGGAGTTCAAAATATGAGGGTGACAATGGCCTGCTGAGTATACTATTTACTTTTAACTTTCTTGGCCACATTGCCACTCTTTCTACTTTGATACTGCATTTTATAATGGAAGATAGATTTGTTGTCTCCTGTCAGGTAAGTTATGTGAAAAGTCAGTTTTCTCTGCTTATTCAACATGATTCTGATTAATTCTTTAGTCTAGACCTTTGTTTACAGAAATTATTGTTGACTGACTGCCTGTTGTTTGAGAGGTCAGGTACATTTATCTTTTCTTGGTTTGTTTTTTCTTGGTATTCAAGATGAGCATCTAACTGAACAGTTTAAAAATAGAATATGCATGTTCTAATATAAACTGATCCACACTATGGACTGATATCAGTCAATAAATTCAATTAGCAATTTGTATGTGTGACTATTGCAAAACCACTGCTTGGAATGATAAAATGCTAATTGATGTTTCCCAAGACAAAAGACAGTTCCCAAAGTTCAGCAAGCAGGATGCTGTTTCCTGCACTGTATGAGGCAGATGAATTAGTGGCATGGTGAAGTATGTAGCTAGTATTTTACATTTGTATTATTATTGATATATATGAACAAAAGACAAGCAAATCACTTGTAAGTCTCATGCAAGTTGCTAACGGTGTACTACAAATCATGCCATTGCACATTAACAATTAATAACAGTATAACGGTGTACTACAAATCATTGCACATTAACAATTAATAACAGTAGCAAATCAAATAGGGGGATTTTATTATCTTTTACATTTTTCATATATATGTTAGGTTTCTTTTAGAAAATTTTAACAGTCTTCAAACTTTCTGACTCTGTATTTTAGCCTGCTTACAGGTTTTAACTATGAATTCCAGAGGGTATTTACAGAGGATAAGCAATAGTAATCTGTTCTATTTTTGCAAGGATGTGTGATTTCCTCCCTTGCTTCTATGTCTGTATTTTGGGAAAGTATGAAAAAAAGATAAACAGATTCATCTCACCCAAAGTGCTAGACTATGTTCCCATCTTAGCAGTGGATATTGTCAGGTCACTGACAAAAAAGAAACCCATAATGTAAGTTGTTATTGTCATATTTTAATAGAAATTATTGGAATTGAGAATTGTGACCAACAATTGTGAATAAACAATTTCTATATTTACTTAAAGCTTCAAGGACTATTTTTCAGAATTCATTGCAATATAAGAAACACAAAGGTTAGCACATAGGAAAAAAGAATCCCTGGTAAAGTTCCAAAAATAAAGTAATTTTAAATACCTTTCATTATGAAATCCTTTGTTTTTACTTCGTGGGATTGAATTCAGACTTGAAAGAGGCCATGTTTAAAGCAGGATTTCTCTTTCCTGTTCAGTGTTTGACAGGCTTTTGATCTAGATATTTTTTCTAAGGGCTTTTGTTGTTTATGTAGACATAATCGATGAGTCTTTTCAGCTAGACTGCACACATGATCATTTAGAAAAACAGAAGGACAATTCTTGGCACCTTTTGGGGATTGGTGTTTATATAACATATGCTCTGGGCAAAGAAAAATCAAGCTTTAAGTTTTTATCTTTCCAAGTTCCAGTTTCTCTAAAGTCAGAAAAAGTTTTAGCTTACAATTCAGATGAAAAGCATTTTTCATAGGGTTGAATAATTTGGCATGTTTATATGATGCTTTTTTAGAGTAGATAACTTGTGTGCATAATGGGACCCAAAAGTTCAAAGTTGCTAGTTATTTACAACATATTCGCTTGTACTTGTTGCTAGCAGCTAAAATGGAAAATGGTTTTCCCATAGGCAAAAAATTTGGACATCACATTAAATATCACTGGCAAGTAGTTAGAAAGACACCGCTTTATAAGAATAGTTACTGTCTGGCACTGTTATGTAACTTTGGATTAAGTTATTGTTACTAGTCTAGATGATTGTTACTAATAAAAATTTGTTCATTTTTTATGTTAACATACTTATTAGGTTCATCAGAGATGCAAAAGGCCATACATTAGAGATTTTTTAGCTGAAGATGAATAAGGAGAAGTGAGGAATGTGTTCAGGATCCTAACGTTTTTAAATGAAAGTGCTAGTGATAGATGTGTGTGTGTGTGTATATTTGAGGCAGTCCAGCTCTTACCTTGCCTAGTGAAACGGATCAGCATATTCATTAAAATGATTCATCAAATAATGAAAGGGTCCTGGTCCCTTTTCTGATGGACTTCAGAGTCTTTTTAAATTTGATCACTCTACTTAACAGAAGATAAACTATCTGTGGTATATTCCTTATATCAGAGGCTGTTTGCAAGCATGCTCCAGCCTATGCATTGTGGAGGGCCTGTGCACCATGGGACCTCCACAGCAACCCTCTGTTCTCCCCTGTTTTCTCCCCTTCTTTTTGCGGGGACCACATGTTCAAACCATCTGTCAAAAATTATGTAACACGTGTTGTTACCTTTACTAAAAAGTTAATCATTTGTGCTGAAACTCTCTATAGCTGCAGGGGATTTTGTTGTTGTTTTTTAGATTAAGCTACTTCCAAAGGGAGCTTGTGGGAAAATTTGTCAAAGTGCATAAGAGTTTTCAAAGGCATGTTGTTTTGTTTGCTACATATTTCTAACCATCTCCTTGAAGGTTTCCAGTATTTGAGTGATATGAAACATAAGCCTGACATTTAGTAGATATATGGTCCTGTTCCAAAGAAAAGCTTTTTTGGCCAAATTACCAGTATCTGAAAAGTACTGTTTGCACATGCTCAATATAGGGTATACCATCAGTGAAGCTTTGTGTCAGTAAGTTGCTCCATACAAGCTCCCATAGTCTGAAAAAGATAAATTACAGTGGAAAATCCTATTTGAGAATTCTGTCCCTGAAGATTAGAGGAGTGGAAGCTATAGGGGTGCCAAAACTGTGCAATCACATCCACTAGCTCAGAGAGCTGAGCCTATTGCTGCTTGGTGGTGAAAAGCAGCCTTTGGGTGCTGGCTGGTGGGACACGGGCTACTTATTTGCCTGATGAGGCAGGGAACTCCTGATAAGAGGCAGCTGCTGTCCCCTCTTAGAAAAGTAGCTCTGGTTTGGCACCTGGGTATGGGCAGTGTGTTTGAATCGCAACTTTTTCGCTTAGATCCTAAAAACTGTGTTGATGTCACAGACCTGAAAGCTGAGGAAGTCATCTGATATCATATTCAGAAGCCAACCCAATAATATTTATTTTAGAATTCAGGGAAGAAAAAAAAAGCCATTATAATTTGGATTATTTAATTTAAGAATTTCTTTCTGGATTAGTAAAGCACTAGAATGGACTGCTTATAAATGAAGTAAATAATTTTCAGTTGTTTAGCTAGTTCATCAAAAATATAATAATTCGTATATGCTCATAAGTTAGAGTGAGCAAGGTCATCATTTGATCTTAACTCTCTTCTAGTTTTCTTTTTAAAAAAATTCCCTAATTCTTGTAGGAATGCCAGCCACAGGCTTCAGTTAGCTGTACCTAGGAATAAAAACTGCTCTTCAGACCAAAATTCTAGCCACATCCTTGTAGCCCTGCAAAATAAAGATGCTAAACTTGTCCTCTGAGGCGAGCTGTCTGTAACAGTCACTTTCTTTGCCAGGAACAGCTTTCAGGAATCCAGTTTCCAAACCTTCAGTAAATGGGCATATAAATCACAAAGTGTGTTGTATTTATCTCTGTGGTTGCAACCAGATAGTTGGCCATGACGTGCTCTTTTAGGCCAAGCAGCAAAAGGTTGTGCATCAACAGATGATGGATTGTGAACGAGACTAAAGCATCAGGCTGAATCTTGGATGGCTGAGTTCAGTCCCTGGCTCCAGGAGTAGTGCAGATGATTGCCAAATGAATGTTGCTAGGGCAGTCTTAATTTTGGTGTTGTCTAAGTCCAGAATGATTGATTTTGCAGATTCCACATTTGTTAAATGTTGCTTTTATGATTTGATTAATAGAGAACATAACATTACATTCTATTTTTTTAAAAATCTATTACTAAATATATTACTAGGAATATATTCTAAGAGAGATTTTTGCCTTCCTTAATGGTCTGGCTACTTTTTTTGTTTAAAATGTTTAAGTATTGGTGGAGGTTAATTATGTGGAGATATTCATTTTAAATATTTCTATTAACAAAATATATTTGTTAGATTTCAAAAAATCAAGGTTTGTCATTTTAAAAGAGATTGTTGGAGGAATATGAAGAAGGAACAGCATAGAAACACGAGAACAAAAAAAGAACAGAGGAATTTACACTAAAGCAAATAAATTCTGTAAATGTTCACATTACTGTGTTAGAATTCTTT